ATCCTGTTTCCTGCTCCTATAGATGGAGCCTCTTTGTATTACCATATAATTTCACATCAGTTACTGTCTGCACTACAAATTTCCTTTGAATCATGGAACATGATGTCCAAGTTTGCATCAGTTTAGAATTACACATGGGTTGCACAACATCCCCAGCCTGTAAGTGCATGTGGACATTACATCGTACTTCAAAGGCTGCTGCGTTGTTACTGTTTGGCGATCGATCTAAATTGACCCAGTGTGAAATTAGAGATATTGTTTTGGCTCTAGAGCTCCTGCTTTATGATATTGGACACCAGACGTGTGCCCACTGGCCCGTTCTATGGGTTGACAGATCAATGAAGGTCTATTGTAATTAGATTGTTACACAAGGGAACATTACATGATGCATCGGTGGCTCAGTCCTTGGTTATTACCATATCTGTCCCAAAATCAGCCTTATGCCTCGGTTTTATTTTCAGTTGTTCTTTGTGGTGGCAGTTTGGGTTTTAATGTGGTTTACTTTTGTTCTGCCAGCATGGGTTTGTGTCTCTCATAAATGATAAAATTGGACAGCTGTGGAACGCACTGGGGGAGAGAGAGGTATTAAGCACCGTTTCTTTATGAGTTTACAGAAAAACATGAACTGCACTTTCCTGTGTAACCTCTTTATGTCTCTTCGAGGACCAATGAACACTAACAGATATGACAACCATAAAGTCGCTCTTTAATGGCTCTTTGACTGCACTTCTCTTCAGCGTTACCAACTCAGTGGCAGTTCATTAGACGGAAATAGACTTCTATCAGAATACCTGTTAAATTTCCTCACACTCTTAATTGAATTCACTTAAACTCTACTGACAATTCAGAAGGCATTCGCTTTTAACTAAATTCTTTCGACAAGTGGTTTCATGAGCGTCATATTGCAGAAAAAATGTCAGTTTTATTCATGTTCACTTGCATGATGGTGCATTTCAAAATGCCTTACCTTTAACCCACCAATTTCTTTTCATTTTGACAAATTTAGACTCATTTAGCAAGGTGTTTTGGGGATTGGGAGTGGACACTGATAAATTAATTACTTTCAGGTCAGATCTTCCTTTTGAACTCATTACTGCCTTTAGAACTGAATGCTCATCGGTTTGGTTTAATGGTGACAAAGAATGTAGATTTTGATGCCTTTATATGTGTGTTTTGTAGTCATCTGCAAATGATAATGCAAGCTGCAGTAACAGTCATATTGGACACGTCTCGACAGGAGATTGCAAATGAAAGCTTCGTCATATTCATATGGGCCGTATTTTAGCGATATTCTTGTGTGCAAAGATTAAGAGAATATGCAGTACAACTTGGAATTAAAATGGCTGGATGGAAACACAACACTGATGATTAAATCCTGTATGTTTGATGTTTACCTGTATAAATCTGATGGGAAAGTGCTTGCTTGCAGCAGGATGCACAATGGGAAGAAGGCAGACCAGTGGAGGCAGTGTTGTGCTCTGGCCAATGTTCTGCTGGGAAACCTTGGGTCCTGGCATTCATGTGGATGTTATTTTGACACATACCACCTACCTAAAGATTGTTGCAGATTGTCTTGGTGCCAGAAACCACAGGACACATGAACTCTTGTGGAGTCCATGCCTCGATGCATCAGAGCTGTTTTGGCAGCATGGGGGTGATCTATATTATACTAGGCAAGTGGGTTTAATGTTGTGGCTGCATGATCAGTGTATGTCCAGTCTTCAATCAGCCAGTGTTACACCATCCATGTAATAGCATAAATGCAATCACTGATATTAACTATGAATGTAACATTCCTTCCTGAGGGCATACAACAACAGAAGTGTATTAGATTAATTATATTATCGGTGGCCACTTTACAGAAGCTTTCTATCACGAGGTTCAGATGTTATCTCTTTTTAAAGCATTATCAACTAGCAAAGCATTAGGAAAAGTATGTTACAACGAATGCAAGTATCAGTACATGAGTTGGGGCTTTGGCTATGTCTCATTTTTATAATGTTATATTCACTTTAGTCATTTTAACTTCTCTCTGAATCCGTTTGCAAATGATTTACTTTTCGAAGGTCCATCCTGAATTCACAGCGCCTCCACGTGGTTATTTGCTGGATACAAAATATCATGTAAACAAAAATTTAAGGCTTTTTTTTTAGCACTCTAAAGACTTAAAATCACAGACAATATGAATTTAAAATTTAAAAATCTATAAATGATCAAACTAAGGAATAAAATACAAACAATCAGTCATTTTCTCCAAAGAGTAACTGATTTTAAAGACAACCTTTAAAGACAGACCTACTAATCTAATCGTTAATTGATAGTATGCTTTTGTAGAAGCAAAAGTCCGCATCATTTATTTATTTTTTTAAATAACAGTGTTTAACAGAAGAAACGGTAAATCGCACACGCGTTCCCTGTTGAAAAAACCAGCATATGCTGGTTAGGTATGTTTTGATGCTGGTTTAAGCTGGTCCTTTGCTGGTTTATGCTGGTCCTTTGCTGGTTTAAGCTGGTCCTTTGCTGGTTTAAGCTGGTCCTTTGCTGGTTTAAGCTGGTCCTTTGCTGGTTTAAGCTGGTCCTTTGCTGGTTTAAGCTGGTCCTTTGCTGGTTTAAGCTGGTCCTTTGCTGGTTTAAGCTGGTCCTTTGCTGGTTTAAGCTGGTCCTTTGCTGGTTTAAGCTGGTCCTTTGCTGGTTTAAGCTGGTCCTTTGCTGGTTTAAGCTGGTCCTTTGCTGGTTTAAGCTGGTCCTTTGCTGGTTTAAGCTGGTCCTTTGCTGGTTTAAGCTGGTCCTTTGCTGGTTTAAGCTGGTCCTTTGCTGGTTTAAGCTGGTCCTTTGCTGGTTTAAGCTGGTCCTTTGCTGGTTTAAGCTGGTCCTTTGCTGGTTTAAGCTGGTCCTTTGCTGGTTTAAGCTGGTCCTTTGCTGGTTTAAGCTGGTCCTTTGCTGGTTTAAGCTGGTCCTTTGCTGGTTTAAGCTGGTCCTTTGCTGGTTTAAGCTGGTCCTTTGCTGGTTTAAGCTGGTCCTTTGCTGGTTTAAGCTGGTCCTTTGCTGGTTTAAGCTGGTCCTTTGCTGGTTTAAGCTGGTCCTTTGCTGGTTTAAGCTGGTCCTTTGCTGGTTTAAGCTGGTCCTTTGCTGGTTTAAGCTGGTCCTTTGCTGGTTTAAGCTGGTCCTTTGCTGGTTTAAGCTGGTCCTTTGCTGGTTTAAGCTGGTCCTTTGCTGGTTTAAGCTGGTCCTTTGCTGGTTTATGCTGGTCCTTTGCTGGTTTAAGCTGGTCATTTGCTGGTTTACACTGGTCATTTGGTGGTTTATGCTGGTCCTTTGCTGGTTTAAACTGGTCATTTGCTGGTTTATGCTGGTCCTTTGCTGGTTTATGCTGGTCCTTTGCCAGCACATGACCAGCATAAACCAGCAAAGGACTAGCATAAACCAGCAAAGGACCAGCTTAAACCAGCATCCCAGCGTCAAAACATACCTAACCAGCATATGCTGTTTTTTTCAACAGGGTTGTAGAGTAAACAAACAAACAAACGACTGCTTCAACAATATACTGTCGCTTATGTCGTCCAGACGGGGCTTTTATTCTGAAAATCATCTTTCGTATTCAATATTTCCTGGTAAGTTTTCTTCATTTCATTCTGCGAATCTGAGCTGTAATTGTTTTGAAACACACGGAGCACAACAGAAAGCATATGTTAGGAATGACCGAAATCAGACACATAAAGACAGCAGATTTCTGTACACGAGATGAGCGCGAGTGTTTTAGTTTGGGGGTTTCGCTCGTCCCGTGATGTGGATGAGCTGCATTGATCTCTAGACATCATACATCTGATATAAGTTACTCTGTTTTAGGATTATTGATTTCTCCTCACTAAATCACTCAAGTAAGTTCATGTTGTTTATCAGATCAGTGAAGTGTTTGTATTGTATTGAGGGCAGTGTGTTAAACAGTCTGTCTGAAACAAAAGATGCTACAGTGCCAGCTACTTTAGCTTAACACTGATATAAACATGCCATGACAGTGATCATGCAGAACTCATATAATGGACAATTGTGCCTCTGATTTATTCTAAATGTGAATGCATGGCGTTATGAGAATATTCATGGACATAATTGTTGTATGTTAATTAGTGAATTTCCTCCAGTGTCAATAAATAGATCAAAATAACAAATATTCAGAAAGCTTTTTACTGTTTGAAAAAAAAATACTTTAAATTATTAAGTTACAAGCATCATTATGATTTTAAGCGTAAGTATCTGTTGTTTGTATTATTGTAGTATTGCATTTCAAATAAACGGGTGTTTTGTTCGTTTTAGGTGTAGTAAAGCATGGATGTGGATGTGGTGAGTTTCCGTTTGCCTGGGCATGGAGACACGGATATGTGTGTGTGTGTGTGTGTAATATGGATTTGACTTGAAGGTGCTATCAAACATTATTTTATCAAAAAAAGCAATGTTGACTCAATCAGTAGCATGAGTTTGGGCCAGGGGAGTGTTCAGGAAACCGGTTTGAAATCAATCATTATTTATGCAATTCCATAATATGGGAATGATGCAAAATTTCAAGTCTGCATAAATTGAAAATTCTATTTTTTAAATGCATGTTATTGACCTTATTGTGAATGATCCATCCATGTTTGTTTCCTTTTTTTTTTTTTTTTGACCTTGTCATTTTGAATCAAAACGTCCTAACTCAATTTTCCAGTGAAACAACAGGCTTCTCTCTGGTAGCCAGACTTCTCCAATCATTTAGTTCGCTTAACCTCTGCCCATTTATTACGAGCTGAAAGCTCATATTTAGATCTGCCTCCATCCACTCAACAACTGATTGATAGAACCAAGTCCCCACCCTACATTTTTCTTCTTTCTTCAATAATCAGTTCCGCTTTGATTTACGTCACAACACGAGATCTGTTGCTACTTCCTTTTCACTGCAACATTAAAAATTTGAAAATCATTCGCTGTTTTGGTTGTCAACAAATGCTCTCTCTATCCAGCAGGTGTCGATGTTGTTGCTGGCTGCTTGCTCTGCGTTTCTCAGGGACCAGTTTCTCCTGAACCCCTCATCAGAGCTACAGGTGAGGGGCATGTCATGCAATCTGAATTAAGTTAAATACATAAGTTACAGCATCATCAGAAGCAAACATATGTTATCTTCCGCATTGTTAGTGTTACTTTGGTCTGCCGTTTTTGTTTAGTGGATGAAATCTAATAAAATAGTGTCACAAACACCCTGAAGATATAACATTAATTTTCCCATTTGTTATTATTTGTGTCAGTGACTTCAGATTACCCCCTTCTAAAATCATGTAAAAAAATAAATAAACTTTAGTTGACCATAATGAACTGCACTGTGTAAAGGACCTTATGCATAAATGGAGAAAGTAAGACCAGCTTATTTGTACATTGTAGTTGTGCATTCCAAGCAAGTCTGGAATTCCATTCTTTCCCTCCATCCAAGGACACTCTCATTTCTGAAAGTAAAATGTCAAGATAGACCTTTGTTTGTTAACCTATTTCAGTACTATTTATTTCTTTTTGGTGTAATAGCCGCATTTATAGATTTCTGGGGTTATTCTAAAGCTAAAATGGTGTGTGTGTGTGTGTGTGTGTTTTGGACTTGGCTTAAAGTTGGGTCATTGTGAAGCTAAAATGTGTGTGCTTGTATATAATGACGTGTATTACAACGTTAACATGGTTTATGAAGACACTTTATGTGTCCTTGTAAACCAAATGGCTTAAAAATTATTAAAGGTTTTTTATTTTTTTTAATGCCAGAAGTTTGCTGTGAGGGTTATGTTTTGCAGTGGGGTTAGGGGATAGAAAATATATCATTAGCTTAGTCAGTATAAAAACCATTACCTATGGCAAGTCCCCCTAAACCACATATATA